ATTAATAATTCATGCGAATTACAAAACTTTGACCTGTTTCTAATGGAGCGCAAACATAAAGCTCTACGTTGTATAACTTCAATGAACTCGAGCTACGTTAGATCCAAGTTGGAATTGAAGTAAAACTCAGTTCTGTTTGAGTAGAGCGCCAGAGGAAGTGCGTGCATTCTTTTTACCAGCCTCAAAGATATTTTCCTTGGTAACTTCGTATGTTTGCTATCATGTCTTGAACCCAATTGAAATTTTTAGTTGGACTCTACGTCAACAATCAGATAATCCTCCTTGCTTGAGAAGTTCTTAAAAGCTAGTTTCTCTCCAAGCACTGGCGAGAACACTAAAAGACGTAGGAGCTCAAACTTGTGCCAATCTTACATTAGAAAACATGGGTAATATATGTATAGGATGCACTACAGCAGATTCTACAAACAAGTCTAAGAAAGTTTGTGACTCTGTGCAAAAAATCGGAGCTGAGGCATTCTTTCACAGATTCCTTCACTTTCAAAAACATTAAGAGTGATTTTATGATTACTTCTTTACTTAAAAAAATGTCTTAAGACCGTCTCGCATGCTCTTTATTTTCTTAAGATGAAGTATGTAGATGATTTCAATGCTGTGATGCTAAAGCAAGAAATTTCCCCAGGATGTTCAATAGAAACTGCATATTGATGACCTTGCTAATAATATCCCCCAAATGTTTGAGCCAACTGATATGGCAACTGCCGTTTGCGATATTTACGGGTCTGTTGGTGTTGAAGGTTTCAAAGTATGCAATGTTTCATTACCACTTTGTTTTACTTTTTCATCTAAATAGGATATGAATCGCTCAAGAGAAACCCATTTTGCCAATTATAGGCTTTGGGTATAATCTGTGCTATAATCAATTCCCTGTGCTACCCAAATGATGTCATTCTAAAGTGCACTAATATGTGAGTTAGTTCATCGTTTCTTGTACTACTACCCACTTGCTTATAAACCAACAATTACAGGATGCACTCGATCACACAACTATTCACTGTTGTTTGCGTAAACGTATTTTTTCTTGTATTGACTTTTGTTCTTGCGTTATGTAACTTATGCGGTGTTATGGACTCTTTCTATAAGTTCAATTTCCCTGTCGTAGTAAGTTACTTTCTTGTCTAAGTGTAGATGAATCTTGCGAAGAAAGAAAAGGAAAAGTAAGAAATTCAAAATTTTCCTTGTATTTTGCTTTCTTTCTTTAATTTACTTTCTAATGCCTTATTCAGGAAAAGAAAGTGTACTTATTAACTATCTTCATGTACATAGTAAGTTTCATAATGGTTGCCTCAGCTTTCGTGCAGTCAGCGTTTGTTTTTGTGTGGTTACTTCCAGTGGTGAGCAGAATTTAAGCTTAAGATGCCTCTGTTTTTTTTTGGCAAAATTATTGATTTGCTAAACCACTATTTTCTATCAAAGTGTCAATCGGGGAACCAAAAAAAAGTTCTGTTCGTTACCATATACAACGTCTAACTGCATGTTCTTCATGTTTCCTTCACTTTTTCTTTAATCTTCACTTCTAGGTGTTCACGATTCTTACCACAGTCACTTATGCGTATGACCTTATTTGCAAATACGACGGGTCGATTCAAGCTGCAGTTTGTCTGTAGGCAATATATTGCAAACATAGACGATAATTGAATTTATTCGCACATTAAATAAATTTATAACAAAATATGTACTTACAATATAAAAGATTTGTTTTAAGGCAAGATGCTAAAAGCACTAGCAGAGTTTGAGATACTGATCGAGATC